TAGATCATGGATTTGATGCCATGTAGATTGCTTTATGCACCCATACTAGAACATTCAGGCAACCATATAAACGCACATTTCAGCAAAAGATCAGTGCATCATAGATCATAAAGTGGTAACATGAATCCCAACATCTTCAGCCTTAACATATGCTATGTACATTCCTCCGAAGGTTATGCCATATGTACAGGCTCAACAATGACCTATTAATAAATCAGCATTTATGCAGATCTAAAGAGGTATAGAGAAACAGCTCCAAACCTGCCACCAACCGAACATGGATCTGGGATGGATGGGGTCCTGTGATGCTTTGAAGTACAGTATGTAAGTATGTGCAATTAAACCATGTCAACATCTAATGTTTGTGTCATCTAGTATTATGTTCAGCAGACTGTGTTCTGTCTATTGTTGTGACTTAGATGACGTTCAGAGCACATTTTATGCCCAATTCATGCAAAACTCCATGTAATCCCAAGAGGTTCACATACTTTTTCCTCCCTGCACTGTGAATGTTTACATGTTATGTGCAATTAAACCATGGCAACATCTAATGTTTGTGTAGTATTATGTTCAGCAGACTGTGTTCTTCTATTGTTGTGACTTAGATGACGTTCAGAGCACATTTTATACCCAATTCATGCAAAACTCCACGTAATCCCAAGGGGTTCACATACTTTTTCTTGCTACTGTAGTTATCAGGTATAGGTGACTGTCCATCAGGTAAATCAGAGGTATTGCACAGGTGAGCGTTTTCTCATGTGATGCAAAGCATATGGTCCTGTTGATTAGGTTAAGTGTACAGCCATGTCACTGATATGTACAGTGACTAAATAGTCAAGGCTTCAGCCGAGTGTGCAGCAGAGCGGCTGGGCCTGGTTGAGAACCTGCAGGACCGCTTAACCATTAGCCGCCCGGCCTATAGCCGTTTGGCGGCATCAAAAGCGCTTTAGCTTTCCGGGTGCACGCCATTTGGCGTGCTCCCGCACATGCGCAGTTCACGCGGTTGCAGAGCCGCGCAGCGGCGCGATCTGTCACCGGCCGTGTACCTCGGACACGGCCGATGACAGATCTGAGTACCGGCTCCCGTTGCCGGTACCATGTGACCTGCTGTGACCAATCACAGCAGGTCACATGACAGTTGTATACAATGGATGGCTTCATTCATGCCATCCATTGTATACTAGTGCCTAGCTGTGAATGGTCACAGCAGGTCACATGCACATGTCATGTGATTAGCTGTGGCCAAATCACAGCTAAGCACAAAAAAAAAAAAAAAAAACCTGAATGAATCGATGTCATTCAGGTAAATGCTTGCTTATAGCAAAGTAATTCTTTGCTATAAGCAAATTGTGTAAAAAAAAAAAAAAAATACTGATCACTTCCCCAAAGTAGTACAACGTTGCTATGGTAACATTGTACTACTTTGGTCATAGTAAAATATGACAAAAAAATCTTTAAAAAAATTTAAAAAAATGTAATAAAAAATTAAAAATAATAAAAAAATTTAAAAAAAATTAAAAAAATATATATTTTTTTTTCCATACTGTCACCAGTCAGTGTCCCTGTTCACCGCCATGCCAATTATATGATGACGCTGTACTGCACTGGTGACAGTATGTAAAAAAAAAAATAGTGAAAATAATTTTTTACATTTTTTCATTTTCCGAAAAAATTATGACAAAAAAAAATAAAACTTAAAAAAACTCGCCATTCCTCTTATGAAGTACGTCGGACTGTCTACTTTGGAAAATATGGATATCTGTACTGTTCTGACATTTGGGGGATATCTGTACTGTTCTGACATTTGGGGGATATCTGTACTGTCCTGACATTTGGGGGATATCTGTACTGTTCTGACATTTGGGGGATATCTGTACTGTTCTGACATTTGGGGGATATCTGTACTGTCCTGACATTTGGGGGATATCTGTACTGTTCTGACATTTGGGGGATATCTGTACCTTTCTGACATTCTTGGACCTCAAGAAATTAGATTGGCTGTCAGTACTTCAGGATTGATCAATATTCAGATCTATCCCATAGTTTGTGAACTCTATAACTTTCCTACAAACTAAAAAATACATCCTAATTTGGGTTATTTTCACCAAAGACATGTAGCAGAATACATCTCGGCCTAAATTTATGAAGAACAATTATTTATTTGTAAACTTTTATAACAGAAACAAAGAAAAACGTGTTTTTTTTTCAAAATTTTTGGTCTTTTTTTGTTAATTTAGCAAAAAATAAAAACCCCAGCGGTGATTAAACACCACCAAAAGAAAGCTCTAGTTGTGTGAAGAAAAATGATAAAGTTTTAGTTTGGGTACAATGTTGTATGACCGCGCAATTGTCATTTAAAGTGTGAGAGCGCTGAAACCTGAAAATGGCCTGGGCAGGAAGGGGGTGAAAGTGCCCGGTATGGAAGTGGTTAAACAGCGCTGGCTGGTGAAGGGTAGGCAGAGTGTGCAGCAGAGTGGCTGAGCCTGACTCGATGGCTGAAGGAATCAGGTATGGTGCTGTGGTTGCCTGTGATTCAGCCTGTCCAATCTTGAAAACGCCGGTCCGGAGGACTGCGCATGCGCCGGCGTCACCCGGAAGTGACGTCCATCCATCCAGCTCCAGGAAAATCCATAAGGAAGCGAGGACACCCCCTGCTGGAAAGAGGGAACACTCCACCCATCCATCCATCCCAGGGAAAGAGGGATAATCCCATCTATGTACCACTAAATCCAATTTAAGGCAATTTGTGTTACCAGCAATTGAACAGGTGTACCTAATAAAGTGTATAGGTATTTCAGAGTACCAGTCCATGTGGTATATGGACTGGTATATATATGACTAAACCAGTATATGGTTTAGTCCTATACACCAGGTGAGAGCACAACCGGGGAAGGTGTATCATATATTTTTCATGATTGGTGGACTGCACGGTTATTATTTTGTATCACAGAACTGGAAGAAGTGTCAAGGGCAAGGACTTAATAAGGACAATATTGCAGCAGTAATTTAACTGCAGAGATATCGATTTGTATTCCTTTGATGCTGGATTATTATTTATCTAATATTTATTTATTTACATCTTGCACTTGGTAGTGGAGCGCGACACTATTTCTGATTTCATAGCAGAAAAGTCTGCTGCGCTCCAATTTTTGTTACGTTGTGAAAAAAAACTAGCCGGAACCCCACAGGTAACCATCAGCTATTAATTTCTAATAGGCAATATTTTAAAATGTGTGGCACTAGTGTTAAATCAATACTCTCAAATCACTCAAACCTCCCCATCCAAGTGTCTTGTGTGCACTCCACAGTGTAATAAAGTAGCACCCTCCTAGTCAGCTAGAGGGAGCTAGAGTCCTAATTGTTAGTCAGCCTGTGCAATAGTCTTAGGGTCAAATTCAGGTCAGAGCTAAGAGGCTCTGCAGACCAACCCTCTGGAATTTCCTCCTGCTCTAGGACTTTGGAGAAAGATCTAGAAGCAATGGGCAGATCTTAGGAGTGGCTGATCTGCATTTTTGAGGGATCCTGGCCATCCCCAACAGGAGGCTTGGCAAGATGCCAAGACAACCCTTAAAAGTGACAGAGCCTGCTCAGCAGGAGGAGAGCTGGAGGAGAGTTTGGGTGAAAGAGGATGTGAAGGCTGGAAAGCAAGAACCAGGGAGGGGGCCCATATGAGATGGGGCTCACCTCCAGGCAGGGACCTTGGAAGGAGGAAAGCTTGGACCTTCTCCGGCCCCCTGAGAGAGCACCACCTGTGTAGCAGGGAAGAAGCGGACCAGCTAAAAGGCCTGGTAGCAGCCACTGACCCATCTGCAGCACAGGAGATGGACCAAGTGAGCAAACCTGCACCCCGTGGGTCAGATAGGGGAAAGAGCACTCTGGTGGTAAACCAGTTTAGCAACTACCCGGGACTGTCTTTTTTTTAAGCAGCAGGTACTGGATCCTCTGCTCAGGGATTCCTCCAGGCAGCCAGATAGAGGAGCATCTGGGGTCTGGGGTGGTACTACAGGAGAACAGTCCAAATGAGACTGTTTGCTGAAACCACTTGTACCTAATTCAGGAAGTTGTCCTCGGTTTCTCAATTCCATTGGGCATCCCATACACACCTTACCCTATCCAATTTTAAATCCCCTAATAAAACTTCAGAACAAGCTCAAGGACTGGTTGCTGACTCCTAAATGAAAGTCCATGTGGAAAATGCGTGTTGCCTGGCTGTGCAGTACTATTGAGTGTCCCATATATTTTGCAGCTCCTAAGCGGGTAGTGCTACACCAAAAACTGAACATTCAAAATTGAAATCCTAGCTAAATAAATGTCCATATCTAATCAATGTGACAGAAAGACTCAAATAATAATGTGATTTTACAGCTTAAAAGTTTTTTTTTTTTCAACAAAGTTCTCCACCCACAATCAGATATTCTCATGAAGCTTCACATCCCTTCTTTAACCACTTCCACTCTGGGCCATTTCTGACATTTTTCACATGCATGTTAAAAATGTCATGTGCAAATGTGTACAAAAATGCAAGTGTTACTAAACCCACAACAGTACAATCAGTCTGTATATGCAATAAAGCATGCTTGTTATACTCACTGTGGAACCTAAGGGGTATTGTGTAAAGAAAAAAAAAGGCTGTTTGATCCTGGCTTCTGTGGTCTTCCCCTTCTTCTACTGTCCCTAATCCATCTGCTGACAGAACATAGCCATGGGGGCAAGCTGCACATGTACAGTTCAGTGTGTATTGTTAGAGAGGTTTTTTTTATGGGAGAGTGCATGTGATCAGCACAGGGCCAATCAGCACTGTCCAGACAGAGGTCAGGGGTTAAGTAGCCTCATAGGTCATTCAGGAGAGGATGAAAACTCCTCCTACAAGCTTTAACCAGTGTTCTGCTGGACACAAATAGAAATCACAAGACTGCTCCAGCTGCTGATGAGAAAAGGTATTTAGCAGTTTATATTTACTAAAATAATTGCATTTCCATGTTGTGTGTACTGTGGGAGACCAGATATAGTGAATGCAGGGTCCGGGGAGAGCTGATATAGTGAATGCAGGGTCTGGGGAGACCAGATATAGTGAATGCAGGGTCCTGGGGAGACCAGATATAGTGAATGCAGGGTCCTGGGAGAGCAGATATAGTGAATGCAGGGTCCTGGGGAGACCAGATATAGTGAATGCAGGGTCCAGGGAGAGCAGATATAGTGAATGCAGGGTCCGGGGAGACCAGATATAGTGAATGCAGGGTCCAGGGAGAGCAGATATAGTGAATGCAGGGTCCTGGGGAGACCAGATATAGTGAATGCAGGGTCCGGGAGACCAGATATAGTGAATGCAGGGTCCTGGGGAGACCAGATATAGTGAATGCAGGGTCCGGGGACAACAGATATAGTGAATGCAGGGTCCGGGGAGATCGGATATAGTGAATGCAGGGTCCTGGGGAGACCGGATATAGTGAATGCAGGGTCCAGGGAGAGCAGATATAGTGAATGCAGGGTCCGGGGAGAGCTGATATAGTGAATGCAGGGTCTGGGGAGACCAGATATAGTGAATGCAGGGTCCTGGGGAGACCAGATATAGTGAATGCAGGGTCCTGGGAGAGCAGATATAGTGAATGCAGGGTCCTGGGGAGACCAGATATAGTGAATGCAGGGTCCAGGGAGAGCAGATATAGTGAATGCAGGGTCCGGGGAGACCAGATATAGTGAATGCAGGGTCCAGGGAGAGCAGATATAGTGAATGCAGGGTCCTGGGGAGACCAGATATAGTGAATGCAGGGTCCTGGGGAGACCAGATATAGTGAATGCAGGGTCCTGGGGAGACCAGATATAGTGAATGCAGGGTCCGGGGACAACAGATATAGTGAATGCAGGGTCCGGGAGATCGGATATAGTGAATGCAGGGTCCTGGGGAGACCGGATATAGTGAATGCAGGGTCCATGGAGAGCAGATATAGTGAATGCAGGGTCCGGGGAGACCAGATATAGTAAATGCAGGGTCCCGGGAGACCAGATATAGTGAATGCAGGGTCCGGGGAGACTAGATATAGTGAATCCAGGGTCCGGGGACAACAGATATAGTGAATGCAGGGTCCGGGGTGACCAGATGTAGTGAATGCAGGGTCCGGGGAGACCAGATATAGTGAATGCAGGGTCCTGGGGAGACCAGATATAGTGAATGCAGGGTCTGGGGAGACCAGATATAGGGAATGTAGGGTCCTGGGAGACCAGATATAGTGAATGCAGGGTCCTGGGAGACCAGATATAGTGAATGCAGGGTCCAGGGAGACCGGATATAGTGAATGCAGGGTCCTGGGGAGACCAGATATAGTGAATGCAGGGTCCGGGGACAACAGATACAGTGAATGCAAGGTCCGGGGAGACCAGATTTAGTGAATGCAGGGTCCGGGGAGACCAGATGTAGTGAATGCAGGGTCCTGGGGAGACCAGATATAGTGAATGCAGGGTCTGGGGAGACCAGATATAGAAAATGCAGGGTCCTGGGAGACCAGATATAGTGAATGCAGGGTCCTGGGAGACCAGATATAGTGAATGCAGGGTCCGGGGAGACCAGATATAGTGAATGCAGGGTCCGGGGAGAGCAGATATAGTGAATGCAGGGTCCGGGGAGACCAGTTATAGTGAATGCAGGGTCCTGGGGAGACCAGATATTGTGAATGCAGGGTCCTGGGAGACCAGATATAGTGAATGCAGGGTCCGGGGAGACCAGTTATAGTGAATGCAGGGTCCTGGGGAGACCAGATATAGTAAATGCAGGGTCCTGGGAGACCAGATATAGTGAATGCAGGGTGCGGGGAGACCAGATATAGTGAATGCAGGGTCCGGGGACAACAGATATAGTGAATGCAGGGTCCTGGGGAGACCAGTTATAGTGAATGCAGGGTCCTGGGGAGACCAGATATTGTGAATGCAGGGTCCGGGGAGACCAGATATAGTGAATGCAGGGTCCTGGGGAGACCAGATATAGTGAATGCAGGGGTTTAGTAACATTTTAAATCCCCTTTCTTCCCCATTCTGATGCTCAGTTTGAACTTCATCAAGTCATCTTCACCACATCTAGATGCCTAAATGCATTGACTTGCTGCCATGTGATTGACTGACTAGCAATTTGTGTTACCAAGCAATTGAACAGGTGTACCTAATAAGTATATAGGTATTTCAGAGTACCAGTCCATAGATATGGAGGCTGCATTCATTTTATTTTTTATACTTTTTGGCTTTATTTTCACCTGGAAATCCAATGGGCACATTACATGTTTTGGGGCAGCTACGCCATTTCTCCATTATTTCTCAGTTATATCATGGTTGCCACCCAGGCTGGCTTTCTATCAGATCTATCCCTCATCATATCACGACTCAATTACTGCAACTCCCTCCGCACTGGCCTGCCTCGCCGCTGGCTATCCCCGCTTCAGTCGATCCTGAATACGGCTGCCAGACTCATTCACCTTTCCAACCGCTCCATCTCCGCCACCCCCCTCTGCCAATCCCTCCACTGGCTTCCGATTGCGCAACGGATCAAATTCAAAATCCTAACACTGACGTACAAAGCTGTCCACCATACTGCCCCGAACTACATCACTGACCTAATATCCAAGTACCGCCCAACACGCACACTCCCGCTCCTCACAAGACCTCCTTCTCTCTAGTTCCCTGGTCTCCTCCTCCTATGCCCGCCTCCAGGACTTCTCCAGGGGGTATATTTTTTTTTTTTACTTGACAATGTTCTCAGCTTGAAGAATACAAAATAAATGCAGTCACAACATTTAAGGACTAGGAAGCTGCAATATGTATTTTTTTTTTGGGTGAAGGGAACTAGAAGGTGCATTAGACTTAGCTAACATTTAAGGCACCTGCACTTTTTTTTCAATGCAGTACAGGAGGCTCCCATCTGTGCGCTGTGCATACAATTTGGAATTACGTGCATGTGCCTTTAAGCCAGTGTTTCTCAACTCCAGTCCTCATGGACCCCCAACAGGTCATGTTTTCAGGATTTCCATTATTTTGCACAGGTGATTTGATCAGTTTCACTGCCTTAGTAATTACCACAGCTGTTTCATCTGAGGGAAATCCTGAAAACATGACCTGTTGGGGGTCCATGAGGACTGGAGTTGAGAAACACTGCTTTAAGCTGTCTATACATGGATCAAAATTCAGCCTGTTTGACTTCTGTTCAACCACCCTGTTGGAAAATTTCCACTCAATCAGCACCAGAGGCTAAAGAATGCAGCACTGATCTGTGTATTCTCATGGTGGGGAAGTATTCCCAAGGTCAGAGTACAATGACACAGTGAGAAGGATTTCCCATCCATCACTTATAGTGGGAAAGTGGCAGGAATTCTGACACTTGGGGGGGGGGGGGGGACTGACTTGGTGTCACTGACATCCCCAGTGACACCAATACAGTGATCAGTGCTAAAAAAAGAAGTACTGACACTGTACTAATGGCACTGGGCAGGAAGGAGTTACCATGAGCAGCGATCAAAGGGTTAACTGTGTACAGGGAGTGTTTTACTAGGGGGCGGTGTGTTGGAGCTTCTCTGTAAGCACACTGCTCTAGATGGCTGTGCTAATAAAAAGCAGGTTTTGTTCAACCTGCTGATTGAACGAAAAAAAAAACCCACTGAGTCAGCTATGGGCAGTTTTAGGGAGCCCTTCTGAATGAATGGAACCAAAATTCAATATACAGAGGGCTGTGTGTTACGGCAATGCACATATTAGCACTATTTACTCAAAAGCATAAGTGTTAACCCCACCTTAATGAAAGTTGTAGATTTAAAATAAAACAACATGAAGATGTCAAAGATTGTATATTTTATTGATACAGTAGAGTTTACACCTACCTTAAGGTAGAAAAGAGTAATACAAAACAGGAAATAGTTTAAAATTCACCAAAACAGTAATATAGAAGATATATTTGAGTCCAAAAATTAGTATGTTATTTTTCTTTGCATCAATACAATACAGTTCACCAAAACAGTAATATAGAAAATGTATATTTGAGTTGAAAACATTAGTATGTTATTCTTCTTTGCAATAATACAATACAAGAAAAAAAAATGAGGCATAATAAATTGGGTTGTGCTTTTAATCCCTGTGGCCCTCTTTGGCCTTAATCTGGCTCTGTTACAGATCAAGATGCATTTTTGCTATAATAAAAAAAATGCTAAAAAGACCTTTTCCATGCAAACATATAATGGGGGAGTTTATTAAAACTGAAGCAGAGAGAATGTAGTAATGTGCATGACAACCAATCAGCTTTTAGCTTTAGCTTGTTCAGTTATAATGAAAGATAAAAGCTGATTGGCTGCCATGTACAGCCCTGTTTGCTCCAGTTATGTTGAATTCTCCTCAATGTAAATTGTACGGGGATATAACCAAATTACTTCAGCAATACATTTTGCAGCAGAAAAAAATATCAAACATAAAGTGTAAAACCCCATAACTCAGATGCTTCTTTACTGAGTATATTACCCATTTGACCTCCAGAGGATTTACCCCCCTTAATGACCAGGCCTCTTTTTGCTACTCGGCGCTGCCCTAATTCAACTGATAATTGCGCGGTCATGCAATGCTGCACCCAAACGAAATTTACGTCCTTTTTTTCACACAAATAGAGCTTTCTTTCTGTGTAATTTGATCACCTGTGCGCTTTTTATTTTTCACGCTATAAACAAAAAAACGCCAAACATTTTGAAGAAAAACAATATTTTTTACTTTCAGCTATAAAAAATATATAGTAAACTCAAAGTTGGTTATAAATTTAGGCCAAAATGCATTCTGCTCCATGTTTTTGGTAAAAAAAAAAACCCCAATAAGTGTAAATTAATTGGTTTACGTGAAAGTTATAGCGTTTACAAATGGCGGGATACTGGGATTTTTAGTTTTTTTTTTATTCGCGATCAGCGAATTATGGCGGCGATCAGTGACTTATGGCAGTGACCAGCGACTTATGGCAGGGCTGCGGGACTGCGGCGGACATTCTGACATTGGGGGGTACTGACTTGGGGTCACTGACATCCCCAAAAACACTAATACAGTGATCAGTGCAAAAAAAAAAAAACACTGACACTGTACTAATGGCACTGGGGAGGAAGGGGTTAACTGTATTTTGCAGAGAAGGGTTATCTGAGTGAGGGGGAGTGTTTTACTAGGGGGCGGGGGTGTGTGCTGGATGGGAAAAGGCTGATCGAGAGAGAGAAACTCTTCTTTCTCGATCAGCTCGTCCTCGAGCTGTCAGGGAAGTGACAGACAGCACAGCTACTGCAGCTGTGCTGTCTGTCACTGTTTGCCGCCGATCGCCGGGAGATAGCCGCTAAGGACCGGCTGTGACCCGGCAACTGACATCCGCGGCGGTGATCGGCGGGACAGATAGGGCGGCGGCGAGCCTCGCATGCGCCCCCTATCTGTTTACAAAACACACGTTTTAAAACGTGGTTTTGCCTGCCAGTGCCGCCCTGCCGCCGTATTTCTACAGTGGCAGGGCGGCAAGTGGTTAATGTGTACATTTTTATGAAATTCTAAATTTTCAAAGATTCAGAATATGGCTCTAACTTCTCTCTAACTGAACCCAAATAAGGGCAAAGCTGGATGGATTCTTTAATCTCTTGCAACTGAGAGAGTTAACCCCTTGCTGGGGCTGACTGTGACATGCACTACATGTGTTTATCACAGCAATCCATCATTTTATACTGAGACATTGCCATGGTGGTCCTCAACTCCTGAATGGGGAACCGATGGGAGGACACATATCACTCTCTATGACACCACCTGAGCTCTGGTGGCCCATTTGCATAAGAAAATACTTGACATTCTGATTTTCTAAATGTACCCATTCTTGTATTTCTTTTACAGTCACATTTGGCAACAATCAATTACACATAATTAAAATATTGTGCATCATACAAGAATAATTGCTACAACATGCCACATATGTGACTTAAGCAGCCCATAGATGATTTCATTTTTTCATTCAACCAACAGGTTGAATTACAAAAAAAAAAACTGACCTAACTCCCCCATCCATACATTTGAGGTGGATGGGGGAATCACTTCCATTCAGCACTGATATAGTGGTTCCTATCCGGCAGGCTGGTTGTAAGACGTCAACCAGTAGATCAACCTCTATACAAAAATACATGGATCAAAATTCAGCTGGCTCAGCATGGACTGACCAAATTTTGATCCATGTATGGCCAGCTTTACTCCATAAGGAGCCTTTTGTTCTATCACTCTACCAGTCCTTTGTACTAGTAACATTTAATCATAGTAGCACAACTGAGTGATTAAATATCTCTTTTGGGACTCTAGCATTATGAAGCAATTGCAATTGGTTCAACCTTTCAATAGTAAGAGATTAAAATCCTCCATGTAGCTGACCCCAAGGCCTGGTTCACACCTATGTGTGTTGCAATCTGTTGCAGGTAAAAAGTCCCTGACTCTATCCGAAAATGCAGCAGCTGAAAACACATAGATGTGAACGTGTCCCATAGGAAACCATGAAAAATGGACTGTAGTGGGTTTTGCAAAACATAAAAAGCACTAAAAAATGCTTAGGTGTGAACCAGGCCTAAGATGTAACGCTTGTCACATTTAGGTTAAATGTCCTTTCTTCCTGGAAATCATCTGGCATTGATTAAAGGATACATTCACCTTTGGGAACATGTTACATATTGCGCCCATTTTTTGGGTGGAACATGTAACATGTTTACAATGCTGAAACCACTGCCCGATCCACGGCATCTAGTGACAGCTAAATGAGGATCTTCTCCCCCAACTTGTTGTCACTATTTAAAACGAAAAAGATCCTGGCCAGGCCATGTCATCCATTCACAGAATACTGTGAATGTAAAACTACAATCCCGACAGCTTTTGCCGCTGTCAGCTTGTAGTTCTCAATGAGCTACCACAGTGCTGTTCAGCGATGTGGTAGTTCACCATCTCCATCTGTCATTGTGTAGCTGCCTGCCCATATGAGGTATGAGCACACAGGTACACTGAGGAGTCTGCAGGAGTCCTGCATGGCACCCATGATCTGCTTTCTATGCTCTAAGTTAGGAATAAAATAATAAATGCACATTTTTTTTTTTTTGCCTGGAAAAAATCTAAATGATTTTCCTTCAAAGTAAATTATCTGCTGTTTAATAAAATAAATCTTAAGTAAGATGCACTTTTACGTTACATTTGACCTCAAACATTCCACTTTAACCCCTTCACGCCTAAGGGTAAAACAAATCTAAATGCCGAAGCAAAATTTTGCAAAGTTGACATGTGTTAGTAAAACCGTCCATATCATCACAACTACTTTGTACATCCAGGTGAATTATACCGCGTTTTTTTCTGGACAAATTGGGCTTTCATTTGGTGGTAAATGGTAATGATTTTTTTTTATTGTCAAAGGAAAACTGGCCCAAAATAGTAAAAAATAAACATTTTTTTAAATTTAGCTGTGTGTTTCTTGTTACGACCATAACCTACCACCAAAGAACCACCCAAAATAAATTCTCCAGCTCTTGACGATCTCAGCGATACCACATATGTGTATGTTATTTGTTGTTTGTACCCGGAGTACAGACCAGAAACAATAGTGCGCATTTTGTTTTTGTCTTTTTTTTTTAACCTAAAACACACTGACACTGACACTAATACCATTTTTTCTAAATCCTGAACTTTGACCTTTGACCCTTGACCCAAACACTAACTATGGCACTGAACTAGATCAAACCTTGATCTAGGTATTTTTTTCTTTATTTTTTAATATTTATTTATCTTTTTTTTTCTTTTTTTTTTTACAAACATTTTTTTCTCTCTATGTCAGGAGTTAGAGAAATACAATGTATCTCTCACCCTCCATTCATAAAGAGAAAAAAAAACAAGGGGGCCGGGCTGTACAGTGACTGATCACAGTGATCGCCAATCAGAGGCTATCACAGTGATCGCCAATCAGAGGCTATCACAGTGATCGCCAATCAGAGGCTATCACAGTGATCGCCAATCAGAGGCTATCACAGTGATCGCCAATCAGAGGCTATCACAGTGATCGCCAATCAGAGGCTATCACAGTGATCATGTGACCCGTAATTGGGAGTCCCGGGTCCCCGATCGATCGTTAGAAAGGGAACCGATGCTTTCAGTGACACAGTGGTCTTTGTGCTGAGAGCGCGCCGAGCGGTGAGCTCCCAGCACATAGACAGGTACGCAAATATGTGGCCCCACGGAAAAAAAAACCCAGTTCTGTGAGGCCGCATATTTGTGTTACGTTGGCATCAAGGGGTTAATGTGAATTCTCTGGTGTGTAGCAAAAGTTATGTTTTGCACAAAGCACTTGCCACATTCTGAACATCTACTGTAAGTAGCCTCTCTCCTCTATGAGTTTTCTGATGTGCAGTAAAATATGTTTTACGAGAGAAGCACTTGTCACATTCCAGACACTTAAATGGCTTCTCTCCTACGTGAATCACCTGGTGTTGTGTAAGACCTTTCTTTACTGTAAAGCACTTATCACAATCTGAACATTTAAATGGCTTCTCTCCGGTGTGATTCCTCTGATGCTGAACAAGACTAGAACTTTGTGAGAAGCACTTGTCACATTCTGGACATCTAAAGGGTTTCTCTCCTGTGTGACTCCTCTTGTGCTGAGTAAGACTAGAACTTTGTAAGAAGCATTTGTCACATTCTGAACATTGAAATGGTTTCTCTCCTGTGTGAACCCTCTGGTGTTTAATAAGAGAGCCCTTCAGTGAGAAGCATTTGTCACATTCTGAACACTGAAATGGCTTCACTCCTGTGTGAATCCACTGATGATTCATAAGAAGACTCTGATCATTGAAGCACTTGTCGCATTCTGAACACCTAAATGGTTTCTCTCCTGTGTGAGCCTTCTGGTGTTTAGTAAGATTTTGCTTGAGAGCGAAGCATTTGTAACATTCTGAACATTGAAATGGTTTCTCTCCAGTGTGAATCTTCTGGTGTTTAGTAAGAGAGCCCTTCTGTGAGAAGCATGTGTCACATTCTGAACACTGAAATGGCTTCTCCCCTGTGTGAATCTTCTGATGGTTAACAAGAGTATTCTGGTCTTTGAAGCATTTGTCACATTCTGAACATGAAAATGGCTTCTCTCCTGTGTGATCCCTCTTATGATTAATGAGGTGGGATAAAGCTCTAAAGGACTTTGCACATTCAGAACATAAAAATGGTTTCTCTCCGGTATGAATTCTCTGGTGAATTGTGAGTTTTGCTTTACTTTGAAAACGTTTCTCACACTCAGTGCAGTTGTACGGCTTTTCCTCTCTGGAGCTCATTGTGCGATGTTGAAGACCTTCTCACAGGTAAGACTTCTAAACTGGAAATTCAGCAATTATATTGGAAACCTGCAAGGTAAAAGAAAATAAATGTGTTATAAAAATTACATCATTTCTCCATTAGACCAACCTAGAGATTTAAAGGGTATTTCCACATTTGCAGCCAAATTGGGATAAAACCTTCTTTATTTTTGTTTCATGCCCCCATTCACACAGCAAAAAAACTAGAAAAAAAAGTCAAAGTTTAATTAGTTATTTTTTCTATGAGGGGACAAGGAAGTTGTATTTACATGAATTATTAATTGACTGTCTGGAGACAGAAATCTCATCAATTGTACTATATTTGGATACTGTCTTTCTTAACTGCTTTCTTACCACCCGATAGCAGAAATACTGCTACAGGGCGGCAAGGGTTCACAAAATCACACACACACACACACATATATATATATATATATATATGTGTATATACATTTCTGGGTAGGGGCGCATGCAAGCTGTGCACGTGCCCTACCCACACGGCCATTGGCGGCCTCACCTGTCGATCACCAGGTCCCAGCCAATGTTTCCCCGCCAGCACCCGGTGATCTCCATGTATCACCGATGGGGGAGAGACCTTTATGTAAACAATACCCCTGTCGGCTCCTGCACATTGCTTTGTATTGCTTACATAGTAAAACACGCACACAGCACACAGTAAAACAAAAGCACACAGTTAACCCTTTGATCAACTCAGATGTTAACCCCTTCCTGCCCAGTGTCATTAGTGTAGTGTCAGTGCTTTTTATTAGCACTGATCACTGTACTGGTGTCACAGCTGATGTCAATGACAGTTAGTCAGTCAGTGTCAGAATGCCTAAATGTCGCTGATTGCCACCATTGCTAGTATTTTAAAGAAAATCCAGCATCTATACCGCCGTTTGTGAACGCTATAACGTTCAAGTAAACCTATTAATTTACACGTATTGGGATTTTTTTTAGCAAAGACATGGAGCAGAATACATTTTGGCCTAAATTTATAATGAAATTTGATAATTAAATCCTCAGGACAGTAAGTGGTTAATTAGCTCTTTTTGTTATGAGGGGGCAGGGAAGCTGTAATTACATTTATTATGTCTGGAGATAGATATCTCATCAATTGTATTATATTTGGACACGGTCTTTCTTAAAGCCCCATATACACGCTAAGAATGTTGAACAAATTATCGTCCATTTGTTTTACATGCTACTCTCATATCGAAAGTAAAGAGGTTGCTAAAGTTATGAAATTTCTTGTACGACAGAATAAAAATCAGAAGTGGTGTATTGTAATGTATTTGTATTGTATTTCCAGACGAAAACTTTGCTGGTTAATTGAAAATCGTATAATCTGGTATCGTACGAGAAACATTTTCATACTTGTCCCTTCGAGTAATTTCAGATAATTGCTGTCTACTAACAAGCAGATTATTATACGATCGCTTTGAAAGCGGCATTTTTCATACAATTTTCTGATTATATTTATGGGTTTAACAAAAGGTTTAATGTTTAGGAGTTGGGCTTCTTCATTTTATGGTAAGGAGAACTGGACTCAGCCAGTCCCCAGCCCAGTTACTGGGACAGATCATGCTGAGCTGGCTGAGAAATGCTGGCAGTCAGCCATGACACCTTCTCATCAGAATCACATAAAAGGTTAAAAAGATTTTAAAAAATAGCTAATCCTAAGCAAAAGCACATAGCTAAACCTAAAAAAAATAAATGAAAGTGTAGCTTGCCTTTTTTAGGTGTTGTTTTCCTTAGCTTTCAGTAAGAAAACGTTCTGCTTAGTTCTTTTTGTTATAAGGAGGGCTGGGAAGATGTATTTACATGAATTAACCTTGTCTAGAGATAGATATCTCACCAATTGTACTATATTTGGACACTGTCTTTCTTAACAAAACGTTAAATGTTTAGGAGTTGGGCTACTTCATACTTTTGTATGTACAATCTAAGGCCCCTAACTCACATTCATACATACACATACTAGAGCCAATTTAGACAGGATCCAATTAACCTACCAGCATGTCTTTGGAGTGTTGGAGGAAACCGGAGTACCCGGAGGAAACACACACAGACACAGGGAGAACATGCAAACTCCAGGCAGGTGGTGCTGTGGTTGGGATTCGAACCAACGACCGGTTGTTACCGGCTATGTCCCGGCAATTAGCGGCAATCAGTGACAGAGAGCACAGCTGCAGTAGCTCTGCTCTCTGTCAGTTCCCTGACAGCTCCTGACACGCTGATCGGGACAGAAGAGTTTATCTGTCTCGATCAGCAGTGTTCCCTGCAGTACACACCCCCGCCCCCTAGTAAAACACTCCCCTCACACAGTTAACCCTTTCACTGAATAATAAAGTTAACCCCTTCCTCCCCAGTGCCATTAGTACAGTGTCAGTGTTTTTTTTTTTTTTTTGCATGATACCTGTATTGGTGTCACTGGGGATGTCAGTGACCCCAAGTCAGTACCCCCCAATGTCAGAATGTCTCCCGCAGTCCCGCCATAAGTCGCTGATCGCCGCCATAAGTCACTGATCGCCGCCATTATTAGTATAAAAAAAAAATTAAAAATCCCAGTATCTTTCCCGCCATTTGTAAATGCTATAACTTTCACATAAACCAATTAATTTACACGTATTGGGTTTTTTGTAGCAAAGACATGTCGCAGAATACATTTTGGCAGAAATTTATGACTAAATTTGATTTTTAATTTTTTTTTACTGGACATGTTTCATAGCAAAAAGTCCAAAATATTGTTTTTTTTCCTCAAAATTGTCAGCCTTTTTTTTTATAGCGCAAAAAATAAAAAACGCACAGGCGATCAAATACCACCAAAAGAAAGCTCAATTTGTGGGAAAAAAAAGGATGTAAATTTCATTTATGTACCATATTGCATGACCGCGCAATTGTCCGTTAAACTAGCGCAGCGCTGTACAGCAAAAAAATGGTGTAAATTGCAATATCTATACCATAGTTTGTAGACGCTATAAACTTCCACACAAAGCAATCAATATACACTTATTGGGATTTTTTTACCAAAAACATGGAGCAGAATACATTTTGGCTTAAATTTATAACCGACTTTGAGTTTACTATATATTTTTTATAGCTGAAAGTAAAAAATATCGTTTTTCTTCCACATTTTTGATATTTTTTGTTTATAGCATGAAAAATAAAAAGCGCACAGGTGATCAAATACCACCGAAAGAAAGCTCTATTTGTGTGAAAAAAAGGACATAAATTTTGTTTGGAAGCAGCATTGCATGACCTCGCAATTATCAGTTGAACTAGTGCAGCGCCGAGTAGCAAAAAGAGGCGTGGTCATTAAGGGGGGTAAATCCTCAGGAGGGCAAGTGGTTAAGGGAAGTGACTAGTGAAACAATTTTAAATACTCGGGATTAATACACCTCCAAGAGAGGCTTGATGAGGCCAGGAATTGCCAGCAGGTCAATGAGGTGTTGTGTGGAGCAGAACACAGTATGAGAGGGTTGTGGGCTGTTTGCTGAGACGCTGCTGTGACCTTTTCTGGACCCCTGGAGCAGGCAAGAATATATACAATATATAAAGAGAAGAGATATATGGGATACCCTCCTAGAAATGGAAAGACGAATACTGATGCCCTAGATTTTATAATGCACGCATTGGGGTTGAGTTACTAAAGCTGGAGAGTGAGAAATCTGGTGCAACTCTGCAGAGAATCCAGTTTCCGTTTTTTTTTTTCTTATGCCGAAGCTTAATTGAACAAGTTGAAGTTAGACGCTGATTGTCTATCATGCAGAGCGGCACCAGATTTTACACTCTCCAATTTTAGTAAATCAACCCCACTGAGTACATTTTGTAATACTGGCACTAATTCCTGGTTCACAATCGCCTAACTGATAGCATAAGATGATTTTAGCATTTAACCCCACCAGAAAAATACCACTGAGATATCGTCCACTTTCAAATTTCCCATTACCTCTTTGATTGAAGAATATCATAATTGAGCATATTTACAATCATAAAAGTGCACCTACCTGGTGTAATGTAGTACAGGGTCCCGTAGAAGCTTCTTACTCTCTTGGCCAGCAGTTCTTGTAGCTGAAGGAACACTTCCTCACCTTTTATTTATTTTACCACCAGCAACTAATAGGTGGTGGCTTATGATTGCCTGAAAAAGTGTGATCTACTTAACATATTATCAGTTTCATCTATTGCAGGCATTCATCTATTGCGGCCCGTTTCCGGAGAAAGAGCTTACATAACTTACGGCCCCCGGTATGACTCTCTGATCCAGCGATCACAGCTGGTGCAGGACAAGTTCGCGACGTCCGAGCATTTCTAATATGTGATGACGAAGTCCCTGGAGTCCTCAGTGGGGGTTCGGAATCGCTAGTGGGGGGTAAGTTATATATTGGGCAGCTCATTGTGGGGTCCGGAACGTGGGGCCGATCAGGTGGTGCGCAGGGAATTACATACCATTTACACAGGCAGTCTCTGATACTATAGTTATATTACCAAGACAAAAGATCATTGGGAACTCTGGTCAAATGGAATGTCTCTCTGTCATCTTGGCTAGTCTCTGGTCTCATGCAGTAATAAGCCTGTGACTGTGTCCGTCATCTGCAGATACATGTGTAGCAGTTTGGTCAAACAAAACTGTGCAAAAATAAAATCAACGTGTACAAATGTCCGCATGGAATTTACATTAACTCTGATTTTTACTTAGATGTAAAAAGGTGTGTTTTATGTTTTTGTTCTCCTCTACTGTTTAAAACTGTGTCCGCAGTCTCTGGCCATGTTTTTTTTTCCTGTTTTTTCGCCTCTAAAACCTAGGTGCGTCTTATGGGTCAGGTGCGTCTTATGGAGCGAAAAAATACGGTATCAATTTGGGCTATTAATGGATTGGTGCTAGGATCGCTTGATGTCAAATAAAAAGTAAAAGGAGAACCATCAAACCAATTGATTAAGAGTTAATACTCGCGAGATTTAATTCCTTCGGTTTAACAGTCACAGCCAAAATGAGAACAAAGTGTGATTTACTAAAGCAAAATGTTGAGAATCTTGGCAGACAAATTCATGATCTAATTTAAAAGTTTCAATCATGTCAAACAGCACATTTTAGCATTCTAATATGTGAGGGGAAGTCCATGTGGGGGGGGGGGTGTTCATTGAACACATTTCCTCTCATTGATACTATAGTTATATTACCAAGACAAAAGATTTTGGGAATGGGAAAGGAATGTCTTGTGTTCTTGGCTAAGTCTTGATAATTTTGTCATCTGTGCACAAGTGGATAAACTGAAGTTAAAACTGTTAATAAATCATAAAATAAACTCAAACATTGTGTTAAGAGTTCTAAAATTCCTTTTAGTACAATAAAAAGTGTGATTTACAAAGCATTTGAGAATCTTCAGACAAATTCATTTCAATAACCCAATCATGTCAAAAGCACATTTGTTTTTAGTTACGTATTTCATCTTGCACAAGTGGATAACCTCGGGAATATTCTAAACTTTCATTGTGTTAAGATTCAAACTATTTTAGTAAATAATCACAATATTTGTATGGAGTTTGTTCTTATACAGGATTTTTGTGGTTCCAACTAAGTGCTTCACTTTCTCGCTCAGTTCTATCAACTGATTTTCTCAGTTGTGTCTGTGGGGTCTTTAGATCACTGGATGGCAGGAACTGGCATGTTTGGTTCTTTGTAGTTAGTATACTCTGCTATACAGTCTGTTGGTTCCATAGAAATTACATATAAAAAAATATAATTTTGCAACTTTAATTTTGTATTTAATCATATGCAAATATTAATCACATTTATAAAGTAAAAAAGGTCCACATAAAAAAGGTTTAGAATATGAAAATAGCTTCTCTCCCATTAGAATCATCTAAAGTTAAATAAGGGCTCAGCTACATAGAAAACCGCTGCTGAGATACTTAAAGTGGAACTTCACTCTCTCAATCAACATTGACTATTTTGAATCCTAATGCTACCAGTAAATAGATAGGAAAGTACAGTCAGGTTCATAAATATTGGGACAGCGACACAATTCTAACATTTGTGGCTCTATACACCACCACAATGGATTTGAAATGAAACGACCAAGATGTGCTTTAACTGCAGACTGTCAGCTTTAATTTGAGGGTATTTACATCCAAATCAGGTGAACGGTGTAGGAATTACAACAGTTTGCATATGTGCCTCCCACTTGTTAAGGGACCAAAAGTAATGGGACAGAATAATAATCATAAATCAAACTTTCACTTTTTAATACTTGGTTGCAAATCCTTTGCAGTCAATTACAGCTTGAAGTCTGGAACGCATAGACATCACCAGACGCTGGGTTTCATCCCTGGTGATGCTCTGCCAGGCCTCTACTGCAACTGTCTTCAGTTCCTGCTTGTTCTTGGGGCATTTTCCCTTCAGTTTTGTCTTCAGCAAGTGAAATGCTTGCTCAATCGGATTCAGATCAGGTGATTGACTTGGCCATTGCATAACATTCCACTTCTTTCCCTTAAAAAACTCTTTGGTTGCTTTTGCAGTATGCTTTGGGTCATTGTCCATCTGCACTGTGAAGCGGCGTCCAATGATTTGTGAAGCATTTGGCTGAATATGAGCAGATAATATTGCCCGAAACACTTCAGAATTCATCCTGCTGCTTTTGTCAGCAGTCACATCATCAATAAATACAAGAGAACCAGTTCCATTGGCAGCCATACATGCCCACGCCATGACACTACCACCACCATGCTTCACTGATGAGGTGGTATGCTTAGGATCATGAGCAGTTCCTTTCCTTCTCCACACTCTTCTCTTCCCATCACTCTGGTACAAGTTGATGTTGGTCTCATCTGTCCATAGGATGTTGTTCCAGAACTGTGAAGGCTTTTTTAGATGTCGTTTGGCAAACTCTAATCTGGCCTTCCTGTTTTTGAGGCTCACCAATGGTTTACATCTTGTGGTGAACCCTCTGTATTCACTCTGGTAAAGTCTTCTCTTGATTGTTGACTTTGACACACATACACCTACCTCCTGGAGAGTGTTCTTGATCTGGCCAACTGTTGTGAAGGGTGTTTTCTTCACCAGGGAAATAATTCTTCGGTCATCCACCACAGTTGTTTTCCGTGGTCTTCCGGGTCTTTTGGTGTTGCTGAGCTCACCGGTGTGTTCCTTCTTTTTAAGAATGTTCCAAACAGTTGTTTTGGCCACGCCTAATGTTTTTGCTATCTCTCTGATGGGTTTGTTATGTTTTTTCAGCCTAATGATGGCTTGCTTTACTGATAGTGACAGCTCTTTGGATCTCATCTTGAGAGTTGACAGCAACAGATTCCAAATGCAAATAGCACACTTGAAATGAACTCTGGACCTTTTACCTGCTCATTGTAATTGGGATAATGAGGCCATGGAACAGCTGGCCATGGAACAGCTGAGAAGCCAATTGTCCTATTACTTTTGGTCCCTTAACAAGTGGGAGATACATATGCAAACTGTTGTAATTCCTACACCGTTCACCTGATTTGGATGTAAATACCCTCAAATTAAAGCTGACAGTCTGCAGTTAAAGCACATCTTGTTCGTTTCATTTCAAATCCATTGTGATGGTGTATAGAGCCAAAAATTTTAGAATTGTGTCGATGTCCCAAGATTTATGGACCTGACTGTATATCATATTTACTTTTTTTAAACTTTTTTTTATGTTTCTTCAGTTACTTCCTGGTTTCTGGCATAAGCAAATGATGTCATACATCCCGGGAGTCTTCGAGTGGGGGGCTCTCAGCTAATCACACCCTCCTGCCTGTTGGCATTCAGGAAGTAAATGCTACATGAATCATCTGCCCTTACTCAAGATGGCCATGGCTAGAACTGTTAGGCAGTGTTTTTCAGAGTGATTTCTCAGCAAAATAAAGCCTGGAGACATGGATGAAAGGGGGCGTTTGCTTTGAATATTAGAAGTGAACAAACAGAGCTTTTGGTTTGTTGTGCTTAGATGCAGTGGAGTTCTGCTGGGATCATTTGCCTTTCTCCACAGGGAGTCTTTTGATCCATCTCCTTAGTAATCAATTGTGCTAATAGCAATTAACCGCTTGCCGCCCGCAATGTACTGTGGATGGGCGGTAGCTACAGGCAAAGCAATGTACCCATACTTCGGGTCACTCTTTTGGGTTTAGAGCGAGAATGCCCCCCTCTGTCCCACGCTGTCATTGGCTGTAAGTGTATGTCAGCAGGTCTCGGTCAGTGATTTTTGGCTGGAACTCTGCTCATCTCTTACAGCAAATGGAGAAGCAGAGCTGTGCCTGTATTTGTAAATATAGCCACAGGATCGAGCTGGATCTTCTCTTTCTGGAACAATTTTGTACCAGGGAGAGAAGAAAGACAAATTACCTGTGAGTAAAAGCAGCACACTGCACCCACACACATTGGATAGACATTTAACCCCTTGATTGACACATTAACCCTGCCAGTGGCATTAGTACAATGCCAGTGTGGAGGATTTCTTACTGATCACTGTATTAGTGCCAATAGCGATGTCAGATAGCATCAGGGTCAGTTAGCGCTCCTCCCGGCCAGGGTCAGCTAGCGTTAGATTGCCCGCGCACTATCTCACTCATGCCATAGGTCACTGATCACCGTCATTACTAGTATAGTGTTTGTACAGATCAATATATTGATCATGAACAGAACTATACTAGTGCCTACCTAGTATTAGTGTCCCCAAAAATGCAGTGCTAGTAGGATCAGCTCCGTTCGCTGCCAGCACTTGCACTTTGTGACTCCGCCCCCCAACAATGGTCTTAAATTGCCAAAAATGACATTTCCCTTCTGGCTTCAGAAGGTCATCAAAATATTTGAAGACTATTTCTTTTTTCTTTTTTTAAAGACCCGGGCAATGAAATATCATTTGCCAGCAATTTAAACCTAAATGCATACCGGACTCTTTGAGTATGTTATGTATTTTTTAGAAGTACCTCACCAAAAAGAAAAAAAACATGAGCCCCCCTAAAATACTATACGAAACGTTTAATCTAAGCTTGCAGCATATCCCCCCAAACCATACCAGCCCACATGCCTTCAATATGGTGGGGTGCCTATATCAATAAAGACCAAGGCCTCTTCCCCACAAGCCTGGCTGGTGGGTGTAGGGATCTTAGGGCAGGAAGACTGTAAGAATCTGGAAGGTTCAGCCTGAATCATTGACTCATCCATAATCTTAAGTGAAAAAGCACTTGTCACAATACACTCTCCGGTCACTTTATTAGGTACACTCGTTCAATTGTTTGGTAACACAAATTGCTAATCAGCCAATCACATGGCAGCAACTCAATGCATTTTAGGCATCTAGACATGGTGAAGACGACTTGCTGAACTTCAAACTGAGCATCAGAATGGTGAAGAAATGGGATATAAGTGACTTTAAAGGTGGCAGGATTGTTGGTGCCAGACGGGCTGATCTGAGTATTTCTAAAACTGCTGATCTACTGGGATTTTCACACACAACCATCTCTAGAGTTTACAGAGAATGGGTCAAAAAAGAGAAAACATCCAGTGAGTGGCAGTTGTGTGGATGAAAATGCCTTGTTGGTGTCAGAGGTCAGAGGAGAATGGGCAGACTGATACGAGATGATAGAGAGGCAACAGTAATTCCTGTCAGTATGGACCAAAATCTCTGAGGAATGTTTCCAACACCTTGTTAAATCTATGCCATGAATAATTAAGGCAGTTCAGAAAGCAATAGGGGGTCCAGCTACTAGCAAGGGGTAACTAATAAAATGACCGGCGTGTGTATATTCCAGCTAAAAAAATTCAATTTCATATAAATAGCTTCTCTCCTATGTGAATTTTTTGGTGTCGAGTAAGATTTGTTTTTTGTGAGAAGCATTTGCCACATTCCGAACATCTATATGGCTTCTCTCCTGCGTGAGATTTCTGATGTTGAGCAAAACTTCTTTTATTGGAGAAGCATTTGTCACATTTCAGGCATGTGTATGGCTTCTCTCCTGTGTGAATCATCTGGTGTTGAGTAAGATTACTCTTTTCCGTGAAGCATTTATCACATTCTGAACAGCTAAAAGGTTTCTCTCCTGTGTGAGCCATCTGGTGCAGGGTAAGCTGTGCCTTCCGCATAAAACGTGTTGCATTCTGAACATCTGAATTGCTTTTGTCCTGTGTGACTTTTCAGGTGTCGAGAAAGATGTTTCTTCAGTGAAAAGTAATTGTCACATTTTGTACATCTAAAGCAGCGGTTTTCAACCTGTGGGTCGCGACCCCTTTGGGGGTCGAACGACCCTTTCACAGGGGTCTCCTAAGACCATCGGAAAACACATATTTCCGATGGTCTTAGGAACCGAGACACCGCTCCTCTATCAGTTTTCAGGCGGGTCCGCCCACATGCAGATACGTCCACATTTCCCTGGGCGCGATGTGTGTGCGGGATGACATGCTGCCCCTGTCATCTGGCCACATCCCCGGGATCACTCAACAGCTCCGCCTCCTCACCAGTGATTGGCCGCCGGAACTGTAGCTCAGGAGAGGCACACAGGCGGCCAATCACCCGGTGAGGAGGAGAATCCGAGCAGCAGCGCGAAGATCAAAGAAGATCGAGCAAGGGAGCGGCCGGGAGAAAGAAGACAGCTGACAGGTAAGTGTCTGTAGCGTGCAGATGGTGCTGCTGCAGCAGCCAGGTATGCTGGCTGTAGATGGGAGAGGGAGGGAGCGAGCCCAGGCTGGAGCAGGAGTCAGCAAGGTAAGTATCATTGGTGTCAGTAGGTGGAATAGTGCCCCATCATTGGTGTCACTAATACCAATGATGGGGCACTATTCCTCCCACTGACACCAATGATGGGGCACTATTTCCTCCCCCCCCCACTGACACCAACAATGGGGAACAATTCCTCCCCCCACTGACACCAACGATGGGGCACTATTCATCCCCCCACTGACACCAACGATGGGGCACTATTCCTCCCCCCACTGACACCAACGATGGGGCACACCACACTAGTATCAATGATGGGGCACTATTCCCCCCCCCCACTGACATTCCTCCCACACTGACACCAATGGGGGCACTATTCCTCCCACAGACACCAACAATGTGGCACTATTCCCCCACTGATACCAATGATGGGGCACTATTCCTCCCACTGACAATGATGGGGCACTATTCCTCCCCCCCCCACTGACACTCAATGATGGGGCACTATTCCTCCCACATTCCTCCCACTGACACTGATGGGGCACTATTCCAATGATACCCAATGGGGGCACTATTCCTCCCACTGACACCAATGTGGGGCACTATTCCTCCCACTGATACCAATGATGGGGCACTATTCCTCCCACTGACTGACACCTCCCACTGACAATGATGGGGCACTATTCCTCCCACTGACACCAATGATGGGGCACTATTCCTCCCACTGACATCAGTGATGTGGCACTACTCCTCCCACTGCAAAATTACAGTTATGAAGTAGCAACGAAAATAATGTTATGGTTCGGGGTCACCACAACATGAGGAACTGTATTAAAGGGTCGCGGCATTAGGAAGGTTGAGAACCACTGCTCTAAAGGGTTTGTCTCCTGTGTGGGTAATCTGGTGCTGAGTAAGATGTGCCTTCTGTAAAAAGCATTTGTCACATTCTGAACATTGAAATGGCTTCACTCCTGTGTGAATCCACTAATGGTTAATAAGATGACCCTTTTCTGTGAAGCACTTGTCACATTCTGAACATCTAAAAGGTCTCTTCCCTGTATGAATTCTCTTATGATTAATGAGATGTGATACAAACACTAAAGCACTTTTCACACTCAGAACATGAAAATGGTTTCTCTCCAGTATGAACCCTCTGGTGAACCGTAAGATGTGTCTTACAAAGAAAACTTTTCTCACAGTCTGTGCACTTATATGGCTTCTCTTTTCCAAAGCTCATCTTGTGCCGATGAAGACCTTCTCAGCTTTAGAACCTCTATAATAGAAATTCAGCAAATATAGTGTATAGCTGCAATGCAAATGAAAATCATATCATTTCTACAACAGATCAACCCAGAGATTTAAAAACACACTGCAATTCTAGGCTTGAAATGATTGTTTTCAGGAACACAGGACATTTACCTTTAGATCACTGAAGACAGGTTTGTATTTAAAAGTGTTTTCTCTAAAGCAGTATTAACCTTTTTCGCTGCCAGAGCCTTTTTTGCATTTATGCAATCTTCATGCCTAAAATTATATTTTTTAAACCCCCAAAACATTATATATTTTCTGAAAGCAGACACCCTAGAGAATAAAATAGTGGACCTGCAATTTTTTATGTCACATAAAATTATTGCCAAGGTCTAGGAAATGCAAAACTTCAGTAAAAAATATACTAAAGTTAATTGTAGGGCACACAAATGCAATAATTTACCCAATTTTTGGCAAAAAATATAAAAGATGAGGTTGTACCAAGTACGTAGATATACCCAACATGTCAAACCTTAAATTTGGGTGTGCTCATGAAATGGCGACAAACTTCAGCCCACTGTAGTTCATCAGTTTGGCATTACGGAGAAGGTCTGCTAGAAATATTGCTCTCAATACAGGCGTGCGTGGCGATATGTAACATGTGTATCGCAAAAGATGTTTTCATGCATAGGAACCCTATGTGTTTACGTTTGTATGCGTTACGTTTGTATTTGGGGGGATTTTAAGTGCGTGGGTGTAATTAAAATGTTTAACAATTAAAAATAAAAATTTGAACTCAACTTTTTTTGTGATGATTATTTGGTGACAATTTCTTCTTAATAAGACTCTGGATGTCTCCCCTGTACTCCACTGAATCTATTGCAGTGCAAATCACACTGCATTAGATTCTTTCCCAGCCATACTGGCCGGGAACCAGGAGAAGCGGCTTCAAGCTGAAAGCCATACAGGAGATCGCTGCTTGTGTCATTGCCCCCACCACTGCACAGAACATACCCGACGGTTCAGTTTTCTTTCTGGGCCCCCCCCCCCTCCTTCCAACCACCGCGTTCTTCTCACAGCCAAGCCCCTCCCACCATCATCCATCCACACCAATAGGACCCCTCCCTTACCCCCTTCCACCCACCCACCCTTCCCCCTTCCCCCCCACCCCCCCCCTTCCTTCCCCCCCCCTTTCCCCCCCCAGCCACCCCCCCCCCTTCCCCCACCCCCCCCCCCCCCCCCCCCCCCCCACCCCCCCCCCTCCCCCCCCCACCCCCCCCCCCCCCCCCCCCCCCCCCCCTCCCCCCTTCCCCCACCCCCCTTCCTTCCCCCCTCCCCCCCCCCCCCCCTTCTTCCTTCCACCCCCCCCCCTTACCCCCCCCCCCCCCCCCCCCCCCCCCCCCCCCCCCCCCCCCCCCCCCCCCCCCCCCCCCCCCCCCCCCCCCCCCCTTCCACCCCCCCCCCCCCCCCCCCCCCACCCCCCCCCCCCCCCCCCCCCCCCCCCCCCCCCCCCCCCCCCCATTCCCCCCCCCCCCCCCCCCCCCCCCCCCCCCCCCCCCCCCCCCCCCCCCCCCCCCCCCCCCATCCCCCCCCCCCCCCCCCCCCCCCCCCCCTTCCCCCCCCCCCCCCCTCCCCCCCCCCCCCCCCCCCCCCCCCCCCCCCCCCCCCCCCCCTTCCCCCCCCCCCCCCCCCCTTCCCCCCCCCCCCCCCCCTTCCCCCCCCCCCCCCCCCCCCCCCTCCCCCCCCCCCCCCCCCCCCCCCCCCCCCCCCCCCCCCCCCCTTCCTTCCACCCCCCCCTATCTTCCCCCCCCCCCCCCCCCCTCTAAACCCCCCCCCCCCACATCCCCCCCCCCCCCTCCCCTCTTCCCCCCCCCCCCCCTTCCCCCCCCACCATTTCCCCCCTTCCCCCCCACCCCCTTTCCCCCCCCCACCCCCCCCCCTCCCCCCCCCCCCCCCCCCCCCCCTTCCTCCCCCCCCCCCCCCCCCCCCCCCCCCACCCCCCCCCCCCCCCCCCCCCCCCCCCTCCCCCCCCCCCCCCCCCCCCCCCCCCCCCCCCCACCCCCCCCCCCCCTTCCCCCCCCCCCCCCCCCCCCCCCCCCCCCCCCCCCTTCCCCCCCCCCCCCCTCCCCCCCCCCCCCCCCCCCCCCCCCCCCCCCCCCCCCCCACCCCCCCCCCCCCCTTTCCACCCCCCCCCCCCCCCCCCCCCCCTCCCCCCCCCCCCCCACCCCTCCCCCCCCCTCCCCCCCCCCCCCCCCCTTCCCCCCCACCCCTTTCTTTCAGCCACCCCCTCCCTCCCTTCCCCCCCCTCCCCCCTTCCCACCCACCCCTCCCTTCCGTCCACCCCCCCCTTCCCCCCCCCTTTCCTCCCTCCCCCCCTCCCCCCCCCCCCCCCCCCCTCCCCCCCCCCCCCCCCTCCACTCACCCCCCCCCCTTCCTCTCACCCCCCCCCTCCCTTTCCCCCCCCCCTCACCTCCCCTTCATTTCAACCCTTCCTTCCTTTCACCCCTCCCTCACTTCCTTCCCCCCTACCCCCTCCTTCCACCCACCCCCCCTTCCTTCTTCCGTTCCACTCACCCCCTTCCTTTCACCCACCCCTATCTTCCTTGCATCAACCCCTTCCTTCCACCCATCCATCCCTATCTTCCTTCCACCCACCCACCTCTTCCGTGAACCCACCCCTCCCTTCCTTCCTTCCCCCCACCCCTCCTTTTCCCCCTTCCTCCCTTCCAGGGAGAAAGGTTAGATACCCTTCCAAGTTTTATCTCTTCTATTCACATTGGGGGCAATTTTACAGAAAATTTCAAACATCATCTACATACATTGAAAATATTTGTACAAAATGTCTTAATTTTAGTTAAAAAAATAAATTGTACTCATAGATTGTGTATTTGTATGTCCAGGAAACAATCCTAAAACATCCTAAACAGCATAGTCGCACACTTGAATCATCCATATAGCATACAGATAGACCCTGACCATTAACCACTTCCCCGCTGCCGTATAGCACAAAACTTCTACAGGGCGGCAGGGCTGCACAAAATATGTACCTGATTTTGCATTTCCGGGTAGGGGACATGCGCCATTGGTCAGCTACGACTGTCAATCACTGGGACCCAGCCAGAGATTCCCCACCGACACCTGGCAATTGTCAAAGAACACTGACGGGGGAGAGGTCTGTACGTAAACAATACAGATCTCTCCCCTGTCAGCTCCAGCATGCTGCTTTGTTTTGCTCTCCATAGCAGAGCAATACAAAGCAGCATGCTTACAGTAAATTACACACACAGCACACATAGTAAAATAGCACACAGTTAACCCTTTCATCATCCCACATGTTAACCTCTTCCTGCCCAGTGTCATTAATACAGTGTCAGTGCTTTTTATTAGCACTGATCACTGTATTAGTGTCACTGGGGATGTCAGTGTCAGTTAGTGTTAGAATGCCCGCTGAAGTCTCGCTATAAGTCGCTGATCGCCCCTATTACGAGTATATATTAAAAAAAAATAATTCCAGTATATATACCGCCATTTTTAGACGCTATAACTTTCCTGTAAACCAATTACTGTATTTTTCGCTCCATAAGATGCACCTGACCATAAGACGCACCTAGGTTTTAGAGGCAGAAAACAGGAAAAAAAAATTCTGAACTAATGGACTGCAGACATAGTACAGGGGATGACCAGAGACTGCGGACAGCACAGGAGATGACCAGAGACTGCGGACATAGTACAGGAGATGACCAGAGACTGCAGACGCAGTACAGGAGATGACCAGAGACTACAGTACAGAGATGACCAGAGACTGCGGACACAGCACAGGAGATGACCAGAGACTGCGGACGAGACCAGAGACTGCGGACAGCACAGGGATGACCAGAGACTGCGGACAGCACAGGGATGACCAGAGACTGCAGACAGTACAGGGATGACCAGAGACTGCGGACAGCACAGGGATGACCAGAGACTGCTGACAGTACAGGAGATGACTGCTGACCTTTGGGGAGGGGGGGGGGAGTGGGTACCTGAATTTGACAGGTACCCGCTCCCACTTCCGCGGAGTTGTTCTTTGATCTTACCTGTTCCTCTATCCAGCCGCGCGCTGTCTTCCCGGCTTCTGTAGTGTCGGCGCTCGGCATGACAGCCGGGTGCCCAGTGCGCATGAGCGAGAAGCACTTGCGCTTTGTGATTGGTCCGACGGCTTCTGGGATCTGTCATGTGTCCCAGGTACCACCTTACCATTCACAAAAAGCACCGCTTCTTGCGCATGCGCACTTGGCACCCGGCTGTCATGCCCAGCGCCCACACTACAGAAGCCGGGTAGACAGCGCGCCTCTGGATAGAGGAACAGGTAAGGTCAAAGAACAACTCCGCGGAAGTAAGAGCGGGTACCTGTCAAATTCAGGTACCCGCTCCCCCCCCTCCCCAAAGGTCAGCAGTCATCTCGATAAGGTCCCGCTGCAGAGCTGAGCGGCTGGCCCGGTATTCTGACACGGCGGCGGTGGAAATACCGGACCGGCCGCTCCATATTCACTCCATAAGATGCAATAACATTTTCCCCCCTTTTTTGGGGGGAAAAAAGTGCGTCTTATGAAGCGAAAAAATAAAATACGGTAATTTACATGTATTGGGATTTTTTTTAGCAAAGACATGGAGCAGAATACATTTTGGCCTAAATTTATGGTGAAATTTGATTTTTAAAAATTTTTTTTACTGGACATGTTAATTGCAAAAAGTCCAAAATATTGTTTTTTTCTTCAAAATTGTCAGGACTTGTTACAATCAATGATGTCTAAGAGACTTGTCAAAAGTTTAGACGTAGAGCATTTACAGCATGCAGCAGAACTCCCTTGCATATTCCACTAATGATTTAAAAGACTAATCAGCAATATAGGAGCAGACAATATGTAGAACATAGCTCGATCCCTTAACCCCTTTACGTCGACTGTACGCAAATATGCGGCTCCACTGCACTGGCCTTTTTTTCCATGGGGCGCATATTTGCATACCTGCACTCCCAGCACAGAGACCTGGGTCTCACCGAGAGCCCAGGGTCCAATGGTAATGATCAGAACCCTGGACCTCCCGATTCTGGTCACCTGATGCCTGTGATGGCCTCTGATTGGCTATCACTGTGATCAGTCACTGTGAAGCTCGTCCCCATGTATAAGAGTAATATAAAAAAAAAATTACAAAAATATTATTATAATAAAAAATAAATACCTAGATCAAGGTTTGATCTAGGTCAGTGCCAGGGTTAGTGTGTTTGGGTCAAAGTCAGGGTCAAAGGTCAGGATCAGTATTTTTTTTTTTCCCTGATTTTTTCTTTAATTTTTAAATTAGTATCAGTGTCAAAGTATTTTAGGCAGGATAAAAAAAAAGTAAAATGTGCACTATTGTTTCTGGGCCATGCTATTATTATTATTATTTTTATTATACAGTATTTATAAAGCGCCAATAGTTCGCTCAGCGCTGTACATTACAAAGGGGGACAGAACATGTGACAGAACAATAACAATACAATGCAAAACATGAGGGGATCGAGGGCCCTGCTCTTTCGAGCTTACAATCTAGGAGGGAGGGGATGGTGGCACAGGAGGAGATAGCTGTGGGGGATGGAGTAGTAGGAAGAGTGGAGGAGGTCGGCAAGTTAGCAGGGGGTGGGGTAGGCTTCCCTGGGTTTTCAGGGTGCGCCTAAAGGAGAGGAGAGTAGGTGATAATCTGATTGGTTGGGGAAGGGAGTTCCAGAGGATGGGTGACACCCTGGAGAAGTCCTGGATGCGGGCATGGGAGGAGGAGACCAGGAACTAGAGAGAAGGAGGTCTTGTGAGGAGCGGAGTGTGCGTGTTGGGCGGTACTTGGATATTAGGTCAGAGATGTAGTTCGGGGCAGTATGGTGGACAGCTTTGTATGTCAGCGTTAGGATTTTGAATTTGATCCGTTGCGCAATCGGAAGCCAGTGAAGGGATTGGCAGAGGGGGTGGCGGAGATGGAGCGGTTGGAAAGGTGAATGAGTCTGGCAGCCGGATTCAGGATGGACTGAAGCGGGGATAGTCAGCGGCGAGGCAAGCCAGTGAGGAGGGAGTTGTAGTAGTCGAGTCGTGATATGATGAGGGAGTGGATGAGCTGTTTAGTGGTTTCTGGGGTTAGGAACGTGCGGATTTTGGCGATGTTGCGGAGGTGGAGTCTGCATGAGTTTGGTAAAGATTAGACTTGGGGCTGGAAGGATAGGTTGGAGTCCAGAATGACACCAAGTACTCTGGCCTGCGGGGCGGGTTTGATGTGGCATTGTTGGACATGAGGGAGAAGTCAGTGGGGGGTGGTGTGTGGGCTGGGGGGAAGACAAGAAACTCGGTCTTGGAGAGGTTCAGTTTAAGGAAGTGGAGCGACATCCAGTTGCTATGCTATGGGTACAAACAACAACTAACATACACATTCGTGGTATCGCTGCAATCATCATGAGCTGGAAATTTTGTTTTGAGTCATGTGGTGGTAGGTTATGGTAGTAGCAAGAAATATACAGCTAAGTTTAAAAAAAAAAAACCTTTTTTTTACTATTTTGGGCCAGTTTTCCTGTGATGATAAAAAATTCAGGAGATATCCATTACCATTCACCACCAAATGAAAGCCCTATTTGTTCTGAAAAAAAAAAACACCAGGATGCACAAAGTAGTTGTGACGATATATGGTTTTACTAACATGTGTCAAAGTTGCAAAATAGTGCTTAGGCATTAGGATTTGTTTTACCCTTAGGCTTGAAGGGTTTAAACAGTTCATCAAAGATATGTAGCAAGCTCATCAGGGGTATAGTATCAAAAAATGGCTGCCAAATGGTGATTGATAGAGCAGAGTAGCAGTATGTAAAACAAATGTAAATATCACTCACTGTATTTCTCAGTATCATGTAACAAGCTTAACCCCTTCACGCCAGTGCCTCCCGGCCCTTTAAGAGTTTCAGAAGCCGGGAGGCGAGACAGGCGGGGCGGGGTTTAGGGATATGTGACCCCCATGACGTGTGGTCACGGTGGTCACATGCAGGGGCGGACTGACACCTGGGCAATAGGGGATCATGGGGCCCCTGTGTCCTTGCCCAAACTCAAAAAAGCCTATGATAAAGGTACCAGGGGCATCTCATGGGGCCCCCTACTGACCCCGGGTCCTCGGGCAGTGCCCGAGTTTCCAAATGGTCAGTCCGCCCCTGGTCACATGATCGGGAAAGGTCCCGATCGAAAGAGAAGACCGGGAGTACAGGACGTGTGCTGGCAGCGCGCAGGGCGTGGGCTCTCAGCACATATGTTTTTTTTTTTATTAAAACGTTCAGCGTCTAGGCCCAGATGCCAGGAGGCCGTACATTTGTGTGTTAATAAGAGGTTAATAGTGTCAAACCTGGGCCACAGCCACATAATTTTGGTTGCCCCATTGGACTTATGATTGTGACTTTTTTCATAAAGTCGATGATATTAGGGAGGGCTACGAGTCTCTGGTACTGGAGACTGGTGTGATAGCAATGTTCATATACAGTATATAGATATATCACTCCTTGAATTGGAAAGATATATGTTGATGCACTAGATTTTAAAATAATAAAGTTGAGTACATTTTTTTTTATAAGTGGTAATATTTCCTGATTAGCAGTCAGCTAACTTTATTTGTTCTCTAAAGTTGAATTTAACATTTTAAAACCACCAGAAAAATACCAGTGAGATAAAGTCCACCTTTAAATATCCCATCTTAGTGTTTAACCTCTTGGCGCCGACCGCACGCATATGTGTGGTCTCCCGGCACTGGGCCTAGACACCGAGCGGCCGCACATTTGCGTGCAATTAAGAAAAACATATGTGCTGAGAGCACACATGTCCGGTACTCACGGAAAGGTTCCCTATCTCCTCTTTCAATCTGGACCTTTCCCGATCATGTGACGGCGTGTCAAGGTGGTCACATGACCCTAAACCCCGCCCCCACCTCCTGGCTTCTGAAACCCTTTAAGGGTCGGGAGGTGCCGGCACCAAGGGGTTAAATAAGAAACATCTTAAATTGTGCATGTGTACAATCATAAAAAAGTGTACCTACCTGGTGTAATGTAGTATCAGGATCCTATAAAAGCTTCTCGTTCTCTTGACCAGCAGTTTTTGTACTGTACTGAACCAGGGGCGGACTGACAACTCATGGGGCCCCCGGGCAATAGGGGATCATGGGGCCCCTGTGTCCTTGCCCAAACTCAAAAAAGCCTATGAAAAATGTACCAGGGGCATCTCATGGGACCCCCTACTGACCCCGGGCCCTCGGGCAGTGCCCGAGTTTCCAAATGGTCAGTCAGCCCCTGTACTGAACCCTTCCTTTCCTTTTTTTATCTCATTACTATTGACTAATATGAGGTAACCTCTGATTGGCTGAAAAGGGAAGTTCTGCTTAACAAATTAGACAGTTTCATCTATTTTTAAAAGGTTTCAGCTACTCTTTGTCTCAATCCTGCATCGCAGATAAAGTCGGGACAATTCAATGACATTCTAATATGTGAAGGGAAGACAATAGGAGGGAACCTTCATTGAAAACAATTGTCTCTCATCATTAACATTAACAGGTTATAACTGTATTACCATGACAAAAGGTACTGGAGTTGGTAAAGAAATGTTTTGTGGTCTTTGTTAGGTCTCACTGAAATGGGCTTGTGAGCTGCATCACTGCAGCTCCTCTAAGCCAGTGGTCTCCAAACTGCAGCCCTTTGTTTGCCTTTATCTGGCCCTTGGGCCCTATTCCACCCACTGATATGAGGAAACATTCCTTCCACTAACACCAACATTGGGCCCTATTCCCCCCACTGATATGAGGCAACATTCCTTTCACTTACACCAACATTGGGACATAATTCCTCCCACTGATAAAAACTACAGAACACTATTACTTCCACTAACACTAAAGATGGTGCACTTTTCCTCCCACTGGTACCATCAATGGGGTACTATTCCTGCCACTGACATCAACAATGGGGCATAATTTCATCCACTG